GGGAGAAACTGTAAATCAACGGCTTCTTATGGCCACCGATTATTTTATGGCATAAAGAACGCACGGTACTTTTCAGCATAATTATTGTTTTGAATTTTTACACCTTATTATTTGACCAAATAAACTATATGGATTCCGAAAAAATATGTTTTTAATAAGAAGATTTTTGTTCTGAGATGTGTCAGGAATATGTGTAAAATTTCTAACTGAAAACGTTTCACATTACATGTCAACACACTACGGTGTTTTATTCAGTGAGTCTCGGGCGAAGCCAAAACGGGGGGCCGCTAGTTAGGAAATAAAGAGAAAAAGTTTAAGTTCTTTATTTAATAAAAATACGTGTATACGTTTATGGTTAAGATTGAAAACGGTAGCAAGATTCTTGTAAAATCTTATAAAAACTCAGACAGCTCAATGTTTATGAAGATTTTGTAAAGATTTTGTACAAGCCTAGTTTTAGGACAGTGGATTAAGTACTAGATTGTTGCTAATAATGTTGACAGACACGATAAAATTTGTGTTTAAAAATCAAAGACAAAACTAACTTTAATTTAGCAAACTTATGAGATGGTTTTATAATACTTACGTCTTTTACGATTTACATATTATTTTGTACATTCTTTATAACCCCTGTCAGTAATCTATTGGAGTGCATTGATTAAATAGCAAAATTATTTTAAGAAGATCTTTGAACTGTTTTAGAGCATGGAATGAAAATATATTTTATAATGCTTGACCAATTTCTCGTGGCAATGAAATTTTGTTGGTGTTAGAAATGAAAACTTGCTGAAGGTTACACAATTTTTAAGGTAAAAATTTTTTATAAGTATTTTTTTTTATCAAGTACTTTCATAGCATAATTACAACTCAATCGTTAGAAAAGTGAGTAATAAAACGATTTTAACTAAACATAACTGTTTCTACTAAATACAAATTTTATTAAAATAATAAATAATGCTTAAAAAATAAATTTTTTTACCATCTTTTTTTAAAAATCTAAGGATTATGAAAAATACAAGATATAAGAGTGAAACAACTTATAAGCTAACGTCATCTTTCAATAAAGTATATTAGATATGAAAAATTATTCTATTGTTGCTTGCTTTTTTGTATTATCTCAGGTAATAACGTGATATACTGCTGTTTTTCTTGCATCTTGTCGCCTCTGCTCATCTTTTGTCATTATTGTCATTATTAGGCCAATCAATAGAGCCACACAGAAGATGATATGTACAGGTATATCACCGTAGTGTTCTAGCACAACCTCCAATACCATGACAAGAACAATGCCATAAACATTGTTAGCGATGTTTAATATACCTACTGAATGGGATTCAGATATCGGATAGGTGTATTCCGCTGCCATTTCAAAGCCAAGCAAGAAATATCCTGACATAAAGAATCTAAGAAAAAAGTTTTATTTTAAATTTAGGATTTACAGTAATTATATCGACACTTATTACAAAAAGTAAGTTCATATTGATTATAAAAAAATACACTCTCGTAATAATCACCCAAGAAACATTGCAGAAGTATAAACCATCCACTTTACTTCCATAAATATTGCTGTAGCAAAAAGTATTTGTCCACATAACGTAAGAAAGTACACAGTCACAGTCGTTTCTCTGTAAAATAAAATACTATTTTATATATAAAATTTTTTAATGTGCCTATGTTGTATAAGAAAACAATTTGCTGGCTTACTTGAATTTACGCGTTTTATCTAGTATAATGCCAAAAGTTAGTAAGCTAAATATTCCTGTAAAAATAAGAAGCAGTCCAATCGTTCCAGCATCTTCATCGCCATTCTGTAATGTGACAAAAAGTAGACTGTACTAATCTGTTATTTATTGAATTGTCTCGATAATGCCAGTCAAATTACCACAAAGTGTTTTACAAACAACTGATTAAGTAGTGTGCTCAGTGCATTAAATATGCCCACGTTTATTCCGTATGAGTTACAAAGAATTAAGAAACTCTTGTTTGTAAAAAGCTTTTTCATTGGTCCAATAAATCCTTGAACCTCGCTGAGATTTATTTTCTGCAAAGCACGTGCCTCGTTTGGTGGTATTTTTGGTTCATCCTTAAAAACTTTCGGTAATACATCACAGCATAATAATAATCGTTACTATACCAAACAGTTTTTGTACATACCATAACTATCTAGTATATTTCATGACTTACACAGTACAATGAGGATTAAGTTTAGAGATGAGGCCAGAGCTACACCCCAGAACAGACGTGATAGGTCAATGCCAATGTCATGTAAACTTTCGTGGTTTTTTACAATTTGAGGTGCTAAATAGAACATCAATGATATTCCAAGCTGGGGACCTACAACTCCGAGTGACGTAGCTGTTGCCAATTCACTTGAATCAAACCAGTGGGCGGATAATTTTCCAGGCATAGGTAGCGTTATTACCTTCCAAAAAAAATCAAGAGTAAATAATAGTAGAAAATTTGTCTTAGAGTGTGAGAAACAAATCCTTTTTAAAAACATACAAGAGATAGTGCACATAAAGATTGTCCTGCAAAAGTTGTAATAAATCTTTCAGGTGTAGCAGAAAATGTTTTGATCCATGCTCCAAGGCAACACAAGAAACTTCCTAAAATTATTATATTCCTTAACCCAATGCGTTCTGATAGATAGCTAATCGGAAATATAAAGACTACATAGAACAGCATGTAAATCATCGATGTCCAGTCAACGGCTATTAGTGAGACACCGTAGTACCTGTTTAAGAAAAGTTCCCAACAGTTATGAGATACTTAATTCAGGTTGAATTTCATGTAAGTGTGCATCTCATACCTGGCCACTACATTGGCAATAATTGAATACTGAATCCACTGGCTCGAAACTAAACTTCCATAGAACATATATAATCCTAAGATCAACCATCTTCTTCGATATACTTTGGTGTCAATTTTGCTATCAACATCTAACTTTCTAACTGAACTTACAATTTGGACATTATGTCTATCTGTCAAGGCACTTAAATCTTCCTTCAACATCACTCAAAAAAATTTTATGAACAACAAAACCTGTTTACTAAATTTCATTTCTTTTACTTGATATTATCCTTGACGTAGACCCGGTTAGAAACATTAGGTGCAGAACGTTGTAACTAGTCTTTGTCAACTGTCAGTTTAATAATGTGTTGCCAGCTTTATCTATTAAAATGAAAGAATGAAAAGTGTTGTGTTATCAGTTGCTGATTTAAAAAACGTACTTTTTCAAGCTATCGTTATCAAGCGATATCAAATGAAATTTACACAAAAGTTCATTGATAAAAAGGTATAATCAATAGGTTTTCATTCACCGCAACAATTAACTGATTGAATTTTGGAAAAAACGTAAATAATCTCACTTGTATTATTTTTGATAGACAAATTTTTGTCGAAGGAGTCTAAGTCTACTTCAATGACCGTGAAATAAATCGTAAAGGGTAGCTACATAAAATATTATTAATAATTAACAATTTTGTTCTAAGATAAGTTTAACTATCTATGATGATCCTTTAATATTATTCTAATGAGCCCATGAAAGATCACTATAACACTAGACATACATGACACGTCGTAATGTACTTGTTCACATACAGTTTGGTTTCTTCTTTAAAATTCTTTAATTTTCATTAAAAAGATTTTTCATCAAGTGATTACAGTATTTTTTTAAGCTCAAGCCACTAAATGTATTAAATTGGAAACAGTGGATGTGTCAAATACTTTAGTTTCTTTCAAAATTGTATATAAATAACTTCTAATAATACACTCAAAATGTTTGATTTGAACCAAATACTACTTTTCCTAGATTTGTAAATTGTTAATAGTTAATAATGTAAATAATAATAGAGTGACTGACATATGTTTGATACGTACAAATATAATTATAATATAAGTATTGTAGAAATATAAACAAATTTCACATCAAGAGAAAAATAGAGATGAAAAAGCGTTAGAATTGAGTATTAAGAGCTCAAACAAAAAGTAATAGCGCAAGCCCACCTTGCAGGCGTGAGGTAGCTGAAGTCATATAAAGTAGGTCTTAGGCTCACTCAGTAAACGGCCATGGTGATAGCTCTTTGCGTGGGCTAGCTTGCATCATTTCTTTGTTTCGCGTCATCCGATTAGACGGTGCTCTCAAATTTAAATTGCGATGCCACTGACATTGCAACGATGAATTTTCTTGTGTAGCATGAATATGGATAATGACATTTTACATTCTCCAGCATCATAATTAGTTATCTAAATTCTTAAGCCAAAAGAAATGTTGGTATATCAGTTGTTGTTTCTACTCATTTATTATACAAAAGAGAAAACATGTTAAAACTTACGAAAAAATTTTACAGTTTTAAACTCAAGTTTGGTAAATATTTCATGTTTAATACTGTTGCTTTTGTTATAGTAAAATTCTCCTGTCATAACTAATTTTCAAAATATAGCTGAAATCTATTCGAAGTACTTCACTACAGATTTTTATACAAACAAGCCAGATTACTATTGTAATTCAGTTTCTTCAATTTTAATATATTTGTACTTCAAATTTTAGTGGTTTAAGTTAATTGATTATTTCAGCAATGTATCTGGTCACTTGTTCCAGAGTTCTGATTTACTACAAAAATTTGTGCTTATTGAGTTATCAAGCAAGAACCCTTATTTTACCATGAGTGGACATATTGCATGATAGTATAGAATATATATAAATACATATATATAAAACATTCAACAAATTGATTAAAGGGAAATTATATTTCTACACGAAAATGATGTGTAAATTGTTAAAAAACTGAAAAATCTTATTTACCATGCATAAAACATTTCAGTGACGTTGAAACCTTATTAGAATTTTTTTAAACACTAATGAAATGGATAAACTTTTATCTAAGTTTGATAAAATTCTTCAAAATCACCTCTAATAAACTTTCACTAATCATGAACCGTTTTTGTATACTTGTGTAATGAATATATTATGTTAGACACTTTTTACTTTTTTTATCCATTATTACGAGCCAAAAGATTTCATGCATTTACAGGTAATAAACTAATACTTGCTTAAACATAGAGCCAAATTACATGACAACATTTTTTGTGATCTTAAATTTTATGTTAATATGTTTATTGCAGTGATGTGAAATAGTCGCCAATATCGAACCGCTCGAATGATAATTTATATATTTGATATCGTTTCAATTTATAAAATATCGTTAAAAGTGAATACTCAAGCTCTTTTCTGTGTATTTCATAAAATGATAAATAACATCTAGATTCAAGATAACATTTAGACGCACTGAATTGTTGTAAACTTTATATTCTTACATTATGTGAATAGCAAACTGTTTTACCAAAATATATTTTTACCTTACTGCTTGTTTAGTATTAACTTTGAACTTTAATCTTTGCAGCTGAATTTTAAGCGTAATAAAAATAAATGTTTCAATAATTTTGTTGTTATTCATTAAAAATTCGTAATTCATAAATTTTTTTAATAATATAAATCACAGCGATTATTTTTAATGTTATTCTTATCTGCACATATAATGTAAATAATACTTAATGACTGTAATTTTTACACTTAGCACAGTGCTCTGCGTGGAAATAACAGCAAAAGGTAAATAGAAGAAAAAACATCGTCTCCGCAAAAAAACCTAAAACACAGAGTCAAGTCACTACAAACTTAAAGGCAACACCGAGGGGATACTAGGGGAGAAAATAAGAATTCACATGGGAAGGCAGGAAAGCTCAGCCCTACCTCTAAATTGGAAATAAGCCGCTTCAGCTTTGTGGAAGAAGGATTAAAAACGAGTAGAAAACGCCTCTAGCTTTCTACAGTGAAAAATTGATGTTGCACTATTTTTCTTTTTTCCTTCATTTTTTACAGCTTGATGCCAGTAAGACGTTATCAACCGAAACTTTTTCATGATCAATTTCTTACGCTTAAATATTATTTTATATACAACAATTATATAGGATTTGCCTTTATAAAAAGTTGAAAACTATCAATTAATAAAACATTTTTCAATGTTAATAAGTTCTATCAATGTATTTACATCAGTATACGTATAAAAACTTTTAATATACCTTTGTTTTATATTCCTTTTTTTTTATTAATAAATAATGAGAACACGACATTTTAAATAATATCAAAAAACAATAAAGTTAATCGTACAAATATCCGTCATGGACAAATTATGATCGAGTATGTGAATGAACAACTACAAAAGTTGACTTTGCTTTTACAACTACATCTTTACTTGTCGGACTTCTTAGTAAGCATAAGTATCTAAGAACTAATAATTTTCCTTGACCTTTTCATGCAACCTTCTACGTTTCATACTACACTCTATATTTATGTAATATGCATCAGAGTATTTTATATCCGGCTAGAATAAATTCATGGAAGTAGAAAATCCATTTCTTATTGGAATGTTTTATTAAAAATGAGTTACTTCAATCAATATATTTATTGCGTATTATATTATGCCAAGTCTTGAAAAAAATTTTGTGTAAGGGTTTAAAAATAATTAGTAACCATTATTGTATAATTTTAATTAATATACATTGAAGTACTAAAAAATCCCGAATAGATACAATAAATATGGGTATTGTTGTATCATTTATTAAATTAAGTAATTTATTTAAAACAAATTTAACTTCAAGGATTTGAGAGTAGATGAATTGCTTACTAATTGTATCACAAAGATTTACTCATTTATTATTAATCTCATATTCTCTAGTCAATCACTTCAAAGGCAAATAATCAATCCTAAAATTTTTTTTACTTATAACAGAAAATCCACGCCCAATCATGATGTCAAGTACATTGAATATTATTAGTTAAAGCGATGACAATTTGAAATCCCTATGGTTCAGCATGATAAAAGCAATAAAATATTTTTGATGATATATCGCTTCAGAAGCTGTGAAATGTGTTAAAAATTTATATATTGTAGTTTAATAATGGAATGATGTAATATTAAATCTGAAATTTAAATTTCGCCAAAATATTGATGCTAATGCACTTAGAGAAGATACTCTTTTAATATGAGATTAATATCAAAATACGCTGATCTAATAGGTGAATGGAAAGGAAATAAATATTTTGACTGTTCCAATAAGCTTTTTTAATATTCTCTATAGAACATGTCTAAAGCAAGCGTGATCTTCTCGTCTGTTGAATTAAGTATCATAAATTAAAGTTAGTAATATGTGATTACATTTCACATAAAAAGATCAGTTACTCGATCCAAATGTGTGCAGAATGATGTCTTAAAATTTTTTCATTCCAAGTGAGATTAAAAATTATCAAGACTTATCTACCTTGAGCTCATTTAGATTCATTATTTGTCCGTACGTATACAATAAGTGTTGGAATATTTTTTGTCGATTAGCACCATACAGTATAACTACATCAGTTGGAGAATTACGACTTGATACAAAGATCGATCTATTTGAACAAAAGCTATGTATTTTAGAATGTGAGTGAACAATGGAACTCTAGAATTCACTTATCGAAGGCAATCTTTCTTAAAATATTCCAAGCTGATGTGCTTATACAGCAATTTAAATAGCACTTAAAGTCGCTGCCATAAATTGTTAAAGGCACCTATTGTATATAAAACTTCTGTTTTTTCTATGGATGAAAACTGCTCTTATGGACTTTTTTAGTTGGGATATGCAGTATGCTCTCATTGTAATACTTGATTAGCAAGTAAAAATTTATGCAGCTTAAAAAAAATGTTTTCAATTTTCATTCCGTTTTACTTTGTAAATTATTGAAAATATGTGTAGGTGTACAGAAAGTTAAAATTTTTTTAATACGTAGTAGGAAAACTCCGAACTTTGTGATTACTGTAATATGCTATAATAAATGTACTTCATTTTTGTAACGACAGAATTGAAATAATAGGAAGGGTAGGATTGTCTAATACTAAAGTAGAGACACGTGTACTCATAAAGGTGCTGACAACTGTGACAACGATATTTATGTTAATTTTTGAAATGAAATTTAAAACAATAATAGGGAAGATCGTGACTTCTGGAAGAACTAAATTTGAAAACTAAAACAGTTGTAATAGTTATGATAAATTTTAGTACCAATGACTGATTTTATGTTAAAACAAGACTAAAG